TTAAAAATATAAATTAGTAAGTAACTGTCCCAGAATAAGTACCCAATAGCTCAACATGATGTTAATGATATAATTTTCATTAAAGTTGGGGAAATCAAATGTAGTTAGGCAAGAGATAGTAAGGGCCTAAATTAAGAGGGGTATAACTGGAAAAGATAGTTAGGAAAGATATAAAAGAGAGTTGTTAGACTTTGAAATCTGATGCTAATGGGAGGTGAGGAAAAGGCAGGTTTCTTTGATGGCTCCCAATTTCCAACCTGGGTGACTGAATGGATGGTGGTGTGCTGAGTGAGATGGGAAATACTAGACAAAATAGAAGTTTGGGGTGAAAAAGAATATAAAGATTGGCGTGAATAAAGAACATAATAAGGTCAGTTTTTAAGATTTGCGTTTGAATACTCTGTCATCAATTTAATGCGAGGTTCTGGGAAATCCATGCTACAGAAATAGATTTGAGCTTTACCATAAGGTAGAAGATGAAGCTATGGGTGGGAATATTCTACACACTGCCCAAGAGAGGAGAGTGTAGAAAAAGAAGACATTAGGGTCAAGCACATATTCCTAGAGGGGTCAAGGATGTTGAGAAGAACTGTTGGAGAGGTTAGTGACATGAAAATAAAGTTGGAGAAGTTTCAAGGAGTGAGGGAGCACTCAGCAATGTCAGGTCCTGTAACAGAATTGAGAAGTGACTTCTAGGCAGCTGTGTTGTTACCAATTGCTGCCCTTAGGATGCTCACACTAGGATAGAAAAATGCTCTACTATGAAGGAATTCAGGCTGGGACATCTGTTGTCCCATTGATCACCTGGGTTAATTTGACTGCCATGGGGGGCACGGGGCGAGGGAGGGAATGGTTCCTCTTCCTGCATCACTCCTTGGCCAAATAGAATGATTTCTCCAACAGTAGAGGACCTTCTTTGGTTAATAGTATAGAATGGTGGCCCTCCCTTGCTGGAATTTTCCAAGTTTCCATCTATACATAATACTGCAGTATTGTGTTCCGTTTTGTAATATGGTCCCCGTTTACAGACCAAAACCCAAAGACGACAGAATGTCTATTTGACCAGTTCGTGTGGTAGTAACGGAAGGTGGGGCAGAGCTTTGCTCAAAGTGAGAAGGGAAGAGTAGAGGGGGGTAGGAGGAAGGTGATAATATGTCAGGGTTAGATGAAGGACAGTAGAGGCTAGTTGGGTAGGGTTTTGTTAGGCAGAGACAGTGGGCAGGGAGGGGGAAGGAGGAAGACAGCATTCCTAGGAAGGAGGAATGGTCAAAGCAAAGTGTAGAGGTGGGAAAGCACAGGCCAAGCTCAGGAAATGTGAGTAGCCTCACTGGGCATCTTCAAGTCCTAGCACATGCAGGGTGGGAGAGCAGGCTGGAACGGAGACTTGTGGCCAGATGGTAGAGTTCTGAGGGCCAGGGCGGGGAGTTGGGGCTTCCTTCTTCCGTGGTTTGATGGCTGTTTGGAGGAATCATCAAAAACTTCTCAGGAATTCAGGCTTGTCTGTCTCAGGCTTCTCCTTCTGAAGACCAAGGGCCCAAAGTGGCAGCCTGACATTCAATCTCCGCCATGGTTGGGAAGTCAGGGCTGTAGCTGATTTCATTGGCCTGTTTTGCATTTATTATAGTGTGGCTTTTATAGTGTGTTAATTGAAATATGTCCAACTGCCAAAAACAATTACACTCAAATTGCCTTGTCAGTTCTTTTATTGCCAGATAAATGTTTTACAGACATATTTATGGGGGCAGTGGTAACTGGATCTCGTTTTCTATTTAAAGCTGGCAGTTGGGTTGGGATTGGCCCTCCAGCGCTCTGATGTGGGCCAGAAAGCTGTTGGGCATTGTGGCGCTTCCATCTCGTTACCGTAGGGATCAGAGGCCCTTCAAGGGAAAGCAGCTTTCTGGCTCATGCAGCTTAGCCTCAGAGAAGGGTTCCCATCGTTGGAAACCTTGGTAACCTGGCAGACATCTGAATCCCGCTGCCTGCCTTAGCAGCAGCAATCTCAGCCCAAGCTGAGACATACTCTACAGCCCCCCTCCCGCCCCGCCCCCCCCTGCCCCGCCCCGCCCGCCCCGCCAAGGAATCCTTTTTTCCCCCTCCACCACCAAAACCTCTCCCACAGACCCTATCATGTAAGAGCTGTAAGAGCCCATCTAGTCAAACTCCCACAGTTTATAATTTGGGAAACTGAGGCCCAAAGACTTCCCCAAGATCAGACAGGTAGTCAGCGAGAGCTGGGAGCAAAGGTCTCTTTCCCTGCTGCCACCAACATGTGCCTTTGGCTTCTCTGCTACCTTGCCCCCTTGTCCAGTGTTCCAGGCTGGCTTTTCCCAAGAGCCTCTCCCTCACATTTCCAGCCTTCACTGATCTCCCTCTTGTTGGATCATCTGAAACACCTGTTGTTCTGTATCGCTACTGCAGGGTGCTGTTTGTTTTTACTATCTCTGTCGTCCTCTTGACTTTTTACATGCTGTATTCTTCTGAAAAACATTTTCTCCACTTGGACATCCCTGCTTGTTCTTTGATACCCAGCTAAGAAACTTCCACCTCTAGAAGCCTTTCTTGTGCACCTAAGCTGGGTAGGTGCCTCCATGCATTCCTCCAGCACGCTGTGCATACGTATCTCTGTTACTGGCACAGAGCAGGCTTCCAAAGGAACATATGCTGAATGAGTGAGTGAGTGAGTGAGTGAGTGAGTGAGTAAATGATGAGCACTGATCATACTCTGCCCTCCACGGACCCTGAGCAAACTGGGATAGGCACATCATCTCTCTTCGTCTTTGTCCCGCTGCTTAGCTTAGTGCCTGACACATAAATAGATGCGAACCAAAATGTTTAGCAAGTTGAATTGACTGTGCTGCTCTTGGGAACATAAACATTGAGCACGCTAGAACCGGAAGGTCATCACATCCCAGCCCACGCACTTTACTGATAAGGAAACTTAGCCCCAGAGAGGAAAAACATTTTTTTCCAGGGTCATGATTACGAATGGGTCTGATGGCATTCATTCATTTACTTAACAAGTATTTTTGAACACCTCCTATATTATGAACCAGCAGTGCACAAAACGAAGCCCATGCTCATAAAGAACTTACAATCATCCCAAACAAGCGTTTAGGAATCTCGTCTTCCCTTAAAAGTCCCCTTAATGCTTAGAACAGAGCTGAGCACTTAAAATAGGCTTTAAAAAGGGCTTGTTGAACTGTAGTTACAAATAAGATGTGCCCAGTGCTAAGTTACCTGGCTGCTCTCCATGGGGCAGTCCCACTGATAGTGGAATGGGGTTGCCTGAGATACAAGGCTTCCTTAGCTGGGCTAAGAAGCACATGTTGCCCTGAGAGGACTATTTTTGAGATTTGGAAAAGCTCAGTGCCCCCTCTGCAAGGTCCCTGGGCAGAAGCCTCCCTGTGATACTGTCTCTGATACCCCCTGGGAGATTCACTTATTGACTTACTTTCTGTTTCCTTTCTTTCAGAGCGTCATTACGGGCAGAGGATCCAGGAAGAGAGTAAGTGCTGAAACCACCACAATCTCTCAACAAGAAGCAAATAACGCTATATATTTTTTAGAAAATATATATTCAAATGAGCAAAAAAAACATTAACATCACTCTTAAACCTACCACCCTGGGAACCTCTTAGTTAATATATGATATTATATTCTCCCAGATATTTCCATGCATATATAAAATTACATGTTTTTATTTTTAAATAGAATTTCAAACTGTATATGTTATTTTATAATCTTCTTTTTACATGATATATTAGAGTGCCGTTCATTGCCAATACATATACTTTTACTAGTATAGCATCATTTAAAATTACGGCATAGTATTTCATTATATATTCCTTAAGGCCATACCATAATCAGTTCATCCATGTGATGTTCCCCCTTTTCACTATTACAATCAATCCTTCAACAAACATTCATGCATTTAAGTCTTTGGGCATATATTTGGTTATTTATTGAATACACATTTCTATGCATAGAAATCTGACTTAAAGAGTATAAACACTTATTGGGCTTCTGATAAATAGTTCCAAATTGCTCTTTTATGATCGTGATAATTTATGGGTGCTCATATTCCCACAGCCTCACCAACACTGGATATTAGTTTTGTTTGTTTGGTTTTCTTTTCTTTTTTCTTTTTTTCAGTTGGTGTTCATTTTTAGTTTTCACCAGTTTTATAGTTAAAAACTGCATTATCTTATTTTGTACATCTTTAATTGCTTGTGACAGTGAATATTTTTATTATATCGTGGAAAACCTTGGCAAGGTGTTCAACTGTCTATCAGGGAAAGGAAAAACTTCTAGTCCTTGCTTTATTTTTTTATTTTTTGCACCACGGATCTGATGAGGCTTAAAGTTACCAAGTACTGAAAGTATTGCTGTAAGAGTAACCTTAAGGTGGCAAATTGGAAGGTAAAATAGGAATTAAAGTTGAAGTAGCTTAAAGAACAGGTGGGGCCCTAACCAGTTTGGCTCAGTAGATAGAGCGTCAGCCTGCGGACTCAAGGGTCCCGGGTTCGATTCCAGTCAAGGGCATGTACCTTGGTTGCGGGCACATCCCCAGTGGGGAGTGTGCAGGAGGCAGCTGATGGATGTTTCTCTCTCATCGATGTTTCTAACTCTCTATCCCTCTCCCTTCCTCTCTGTAAAAAATCAATAAAATATATTAAAAGAAAAAAAATAGCTGGGTTTCCTTTCACACTGCATAGAGCCCTGTCTTTGGCAGCTGATCCCGGCCATCAACTTCTGGGCTGTGTGGGAGACAGTAGGGAGGAGCCAGTTCTTCTGGTCCACCTCTGGGGCCAAGGGCCCACCACAGTGTTCCCGCTAAGCCCTGACTCCTCGGGCTGAGGTGGCCATGACCTTTAAGGCAATGAGAACTCTGGCCTGAGCATTTGCTTTGTGCTCTTTCGTGGTCTGTTGTATATTTTGTATTCTCTGTATCAGGGCAGAGCTTTGCTCCCGGGGTTTCTGAGTGAGGGGCTTCCTGCAGCATGCTCGCTTTTCCAAGCAGATCGGGCATTCCTGATCCTCATGAGGCTTTTGTCCAGGATGAAGATTCAGGAACTGATGTGGGAGAAGGGGCAGATGACTGGGCCCAGTCCAAAGCCACGATCAGACCCCCTGACCAGCTGGATTTGACTGATGCGGTGAGTTAGTAGCATCCTACTCCTGTTCCTTCCACCTCCCCAGAGTGCGTTCTTCCATAATACTGATTATGAGCCTGCACAGAACCTGGGTGTGAGATGTCTGCTGGCACCTGGCCGGGGGGCGGGAGAGGGGGTCGTCCTCCCAAGCCTCAGAGAGGGGTGGGGGCCCTCCATGTATGACCCTCTTGGTGTTTTTCTTTAGGAGCTAAAGGAGGAGATTACCCGAATCCTGACAGCCAACAACCCACATGCACCCCACAACATCGTCAGGTTCAGCTTTAAAGTAAGTCATCCCTTCCGGGCCAGGCACCTCTAGGTGCCCCTCAGTTGGCAGTGACTTGCTGCATTGCAGAAGCCTCTCAGCTATCAGAGAGATTGGCTTTAAACCGGAGCTCTGAGATTTTATGTGGAGTTTTCCAGAGAAGTTTGCAATTTCTTTCTGAATCTCCCTTGCAGCCTCACTAACTGCATTGTCTTCAGCGCCTTGTAGAGCCCCTCTTTTCAAGGAGCCTGAAGTCAATCATTTGGTTAGAAAAATATGTTTCTAACGTGTACAATGCATTTTCCACCAAATCAACGAGTGGGTCTTTGGAAATTGAGTCGTCCTCCAGCCGGACACCTGGGTGGAGTACAAGCTCCCCTCTGGACAAGGAGCTGGCCTTCCCCCCCCCACCCCCCCGCATTCCTGCTCGGGAGAAAGCCCCAGTAGGCTGTGTTCTCAGTGTCTCCTCACATCTCATCCAGGCAGGCTGCTGACTCCATCAGGGCCTTCCCTCGGTGCATGTGGTATGGGCACATTCTCACTTAGCAGACACTTATGTGGCACATCTTTAAGGGGGACAACACTGTTTTCAGCCATAGCAAAGTCAGCTCCTGTGAGTACTGTCCGAAGAAAACTTGCAAGCACAATCTGAGCTAAGGTGGAAGTGTGTGTATGTTTTTTATTATCTTAAGATCCATTTGTTCCATACTTACTGTGTGCTAGTGACAGGTCCTATATTAGACCTTTTACATATATCTCAAGTAATCCTCAGGTTTCTTTAATATAAGAACTTTTTGTCATTGTTAATCCTCACCAGAGAATGGAAGGGAGGAAGGAAAGGAGGGGAGAGAGAGAGAGAGAGAGAGAGAGAGAGAGAGAGAGAGAGAGAGAGAGAGAAACATTGATGTGAAAGATACATCAATTGATTTCTTGATTTCTTCCTATATGCGCTCTCCTATATGGACTGGTAATGGAACCTGCAACCCAGGTACATGCCCTTGACCGAGAATTGAACCTGAGACCCTTTGGTGTGCAGGCCAACGCTCTAACCACTGTGAAACACCGGCCAGGGCAGGAACTATTTTTTATCTTTATTTTATGGAAACTGAGGTTAATCTAGGTAAAACAAATTACAAAAGTCATATGAGCAGAATTCAAAGCAAGATTTGAACTAATTTGTCTGACTCTAAAGCAACATTACACTCCTTCTTTAAATATAATTATTTTGAATATATAATAGAAACCCATGGTATGAATTTCAAAAGATTCAAAAGTACAATGAAAACTAAACTTTCCCCAAATCCTGTCCCTTTCCCTAGAAACCGCTACTATTAGTAGTTTCTTTCTCTAAAAAAAATCCCAGTTTTATTGAGATATAATTCATATACATACAATCACCCATTTAAAGTGTACAATTCAATGAATTTTAGGATATTCTCAAATTGTGCAACCAATTTTGGTGTGTAGCAGAATTTTAGTAATTAGTTTATGTGTGCCATAGGTGAAAAAGGTTGAAAATCGCTGATCTAGAGGAATGAGACTAAAGGCTCTATGAAAGCAGGGGTTACATCTGTTTTTACTAAGTTTTTTATCCCTGGAACCTAGAAACTACTGGTACATTGTATCTATCCAAAAATTATTTGTTGAAAAAGGAATGAACCAGGTTGCCTGAGCTTTAAGCTTAGCTCTGCTTCTGATTTGCTGTGTGACCTGAACAAGTGCCCAACCCCAACTTTTTCTATAATTTTTGTGGTCCTCTTTTATGGAAAAGGAGAATTAGGGATTTGGCATCTCAGAGGACCTTTCCAGCCCAGGCAGCCATTAAATACAGTGGAAAGAAGGCCAGGCCAGGTGTGTTTGATGGCTGAGTGACCTGAGGTGTGTGGTGAAGCAGGTGAGCCAGATCTCTTGGCATAGATGTAGGAGCCAGTGATAGGTAAGTCCAGAAGTGCTCAAAGTTGGAAAGAGAGGTAGTTAAAAATATATCTTTAATGAGAACTAAAAAAAAAAATAAATAAGCAAACCTTATTCCATTTTCCTCCTCTTTTTTAAACTGGAATGCAGTGAAAACTTCAGGCCAACTGAGGATTTGGTGAGTTACATTTCTGTTAACAGACAAACTGTTTTAGGCCTTAGAGAATGAAGGCAGACTACTTTCTGACTCCAGCCCTTTTGAGGACCCTGGTCTGACTCAGCCCCATCTCTTCTTAGGAAGGCACTTATAAGCTTATTGGTTTTGTGAACCAACTAGCAGTTCATTACAGCCACATCGGGAACCTGATCCCCAAAGACTCAGATGAAGGACGGCGGCAGCACTACCAGGATGAGTTAGTAACAGGTAGGCCTCTGGGCAGCCTGAGGCTGCAGCCTGGTCCCCTTTCTCTGGTTACTCTAGGGAGTACATTGCTACATCAGAAATCTTCAGAGTGTCTACTTACGTAAAATCCAACAGCTGGCTGCCCTGGATAGGTCTGGAAGCTAACCCATGAGGCTCAGGCCGAGAAGAACCCTGGGGCAGGTGGGGTCTGAAAGGCAGGAACCCAGAAGGCCTGCCCTGCCAGGGGATGGGGAAGTGGGCCTGAACTTTGAGCTCATTAGCACTATCCTACCAAGGTTCTCAGGAGTCTGCCAGGTTGGTGTTTTCAGACACAGAAAACCTTGAGGAAGAAGAAGAGATCAAGGAAGGAGACGCTGAAGTTGAGAGTCAAATAGATATACCTGCAGCCGAGGTACACTATGGTATTGCTCTCCAACCTACCTACCCCATCCCGCTCCAGCCGTAGATGGAGGCTTCAGGGCTGACTTATTGCGGGTGGGGGCTGAAAGTGAGAAGTCAGAGGCTGCATGTACCCGTGCCTCTGGCATCATCACCCTGTCCCACTACCTTCCTATTCCAGGATATGACTTCTCCCCACTCCCAATTCCCTGCCACCTTTTTCTCATGGCCAAGTCCTGATCCTGTGGGTCTCTCCCTCCCCCCACCCCCACCAGGCATCTGAAAAAGTGATTGAAGAAGAATTGATGACTCCTAAGCAGCCCAAGGAGAGTAAGCTCACCAACCAGTTCAACTTCAGTGAGAGAGCCTCACAGACCGTCAACAACCCTCTCCGGGTACGGCCCCCACCCCGGCCCCTTTATCTCACAACTCTGCACTGTGCCTGGCCCCAGCCTCAACTTCAGCCTGGCAGGGTGACGGGGTAGGCACCATGGTTACTCTCTCCAAGAAGAGCTGGGAGCATGTGTTTAGGTGTCTGTAAGTCATCCAGGCAGGAGTTCAGAGGGAGTAACAAGGAGACTGAAGCCCTCCACTAAGATAGTGAAACTTGAATTGGCCTTGAAGAGATCAGAATCTGGGGAAGAGACAGGAGGCCAGAATGTGCCAGGAGGTGAGGCTAGGTGCCAGTTTGACCAAAGGTGACAGACAGTCTTTGTGATAGACTAGCTGAAAGGGGCTAGACAAGTTCCCTGGCTCAGAAGCATGGAGGACCCTGAGCACCAGGCTGAAAGAGCCTCTCAGGATTTCAGGCGAGAGACTCACATGTGCAAGGCTGTGTTCTACAGAAATGACTCTGTGAGTGGAGGGCAGAGGTCTACAGGGTGGGTTTTGGCAGCTCTTAATCGCCCTCTGTAGTCCCTATGCTGACATTTGGAAATCAAGGTGGTACACAATGGGAGGGAGTATATTTTCCGGTGGAGCCAGAGACCCCAGTGTTAAGGAGAAGCCTTCTCAGGGTGAGGGTTATTAATTAGCCCAATGGCATGCCAGAGGCAGACCTCTTTGTTCTGGTCTGGAGCTGCCATGGGCCTGATTTCTTGCAGGTCTGTCCATACCCACTTGGAGTTCTTATTGGTTGAAACTGGCACAATCAGGCTTCACTACCCCTGCTTTCTAGTGTAGGCTTCTGAAGGAGGCTTGGGTGGGAAATGTAGGCTTTCACTGCACCATCTGGTACTCTTTACTTCCCCTATCCTGTGTCCCACCCTGCCCTCAGCCCCAGCAGAAATGCTTCGCCCACGGACACTTGGGTCTCATTTAAATAAGTGAGAAGGAGCTAGGTGCTTCTTGTAGGTTTCCTGTTGTCATTGTTCTCTAGGACCGAGAATGCCAGATGGAACCTCCTCCCAGGGCAAACTTTTCAGCCACAGCCAATCAGGTGAGACCCTGAACCAGTCTAAAAATCATCACCTTCCCCTATCTCCACCCCCCCCCCGCCCCCCACCCTGTTGCCCATGCATACTTGTCTGGCTTGGCAACAAAGGAGCCTGGTGTGGTCAGAGATTCCTGACAGTCTGCCCTCCTCATCCATCCACCTCCCTGCTCCTTTTTCAGTCTCTGAACACCATGTACATGAGACACTAGGCTCCCACCCAGCAATCTCTAGATCAGACAGTAGATCCCTACCCAGTGAGTCTGGATCAGTCACATGCCCCCCAGGACAAGGCTGACCAAGGGGGAAAGAGACATGGCTTCCGGAAAGTTCCTTTAAGACCAGGGGAAAATATGTGTTCCCATGGGCTCTGTAACCCATGGCACCCCATGGCTGACTGAGCATTAACAGTCTAACCTGCCCTTCCAACAAACTTCAGTGTTCCTGCTGACCCTCCCCCGCACCTCCCCCAAGTCCTACTGGATAGGCATGCTGATGTGGGCAGGACATGGTGCCGAGAGACCTGAGTTCGGGCCCCAACTTTGCTCTCATACTGTAACATCCTGACCAAACCATGCCATCCTCAATGCCTGCTTCTTTCTTGTCAAATGAGGACCACAAGCAGGCTGACAGGGTTGTTGGAGGGCTCAGACTGAGATATCACTGAAGTACATTGCAGGGCAGAGCACTGGCCCACAGGTGAATTATTAAATGTAAGGTGTGCCTATCTGGCCTCCAGGTGGCAGTGATGGCCCAACTCTGGAGAGCGCAGTGTGATCTAGGCCCTTTGCCCAGCCTCAGGCCCTTGCTGCTTCCTCTGCTACTATCCTTGGGCTTCTCTTCCTATCAGATACAGTTAGCAGGGGTTCCCTAACTTTTTATATTTTTTATGCTGAGAAGGTATGGTCAGTGCTGTGGACAACCAGCCTGAGCCAATAAGTTTATCCCATCTCCATGGGGGAATTTTAAAAAAATTTTCCTAGTTCATAGTTGTATAAATCAACAAGAAAAATGTGAGCTAGCCTGATATTTGCCCATTTGTTTTGCCTGGTGGGGATTGTAGGCTGGAACAATACTGATCTCCAGCTGACTACCAAGTCCCTGGGCTGCAAGATGGAAAGCCTCGCCCAGAGATGTCCTGAGAACTCCTTCATTCCTGTCCTAGGCTGGACGGGGAGACAGATGTTGAATATATAATCACAGTGGGCCAAGCACAGGGACCCACCACGTGGAGGCATGTGACAGGGGTTGGTGTAATCAACTTCTCAGACCTAAAGGCTGAAGAGGACCTGACTGGCTGAAGTTTTTGCCCTGCATTGATCTTTCTCATTTTGCCCTTGCCTAGTGGGAGATCTATGATGCCTACATGGAGGAACTTGAGAAGCAGGAAAAGACCAAAGAGAAGGAGAAGACAAAGACACCAGTGGCTAAAAAAATGGGGGCGATGGCCATGAGGAAGATGACATCTCTGGAGTCCCAGGTTTCGTGAGGGTTACCATGGCTCTGTTAGAGAATGATTGAGTTGGACCTTGGCCCCTCGGTAGACATAAGCCTGGCTATCTGGGAGGACTTCACAGACAGGCAAAGAGGTGGGACTAATGTTGAAGTATGAATAGTTCTTTCTTTGTGAGAAGATGTGAGGAGAGCTACAACTGCCTCTGGCATTCCACACCTCCCCCAAATTTTATATAGATCTGGAGGCTAGGGGAGATTCAGTATTGTCGGGCTGAGGGACAACAGAAGATAGGAATGCTATTGAAAACCTGAGGTACACCCTGGAAGAGCTGGGGAATTTTCCCAGGGTAAGGTGGGATGTGAGAATAGGGGATCTTCTCCATGGTCAGGGGCTCATGGGGTTTGGGACAGTGATTTGCTCTTTGACTTTTGGTCCTTGGGTATATTTGCACTCAATTATTAGGTGAGTCTTCAGGACAAGATGCCAGTCAGAGGTCCTGAAAGTACCAGCAAATCCAGGCCAATAGGTGTGGCCACTCTGGGATGGATTTACCATGAAGAGCCATGTAGGAGTTGTTACAGAGGTCATGGTTAGGGGGCTCACTGTGGATGTAGCCAGCATAGGTTTAGCCATCATCCTGGGAGTTACAGTAAGAGGTCACTGCAAGGAATTTCACCACTACAGGGACCAGCATGGAAATCAGGATGAGTTTGGCCTTCAATAAGGTGAGAACAAGGTTCACAGGAAACTAGGATCTGGTTGATCTCCTTTCAGCACCCTGGAGAGCTCCCAGAAAACACTGAGAAAAAGTGGCTCTGCTCCACCCCAGAATAGAAAAGCCAGATTGGTTAACGGAAGTTCTGCTTCCTTTGTCTGATGTATGCCCACTTCCACCTCAAGTCTCTGATCCTGATAAAAAACCACATTTTAGGAGAAGTTTGAGGATTCCTTGCCTTGGCTCAATATAAACTGGCCCAATTCCGTTTCATTCAACCATAGACCAAGTGCTTGGTGATCATGACCATGCTGGCTGGATACTGGAGGTGAAAGATGAAGTCCCTGTCCTTCAGGTTTCCCTGTCCAGACCCTTGACTTCCCCTGCACCATTCCCTTGGAGGTTAGGGGCTTCAGAGGGCCTGTCGGCCTGGGTCGGAGTTTACTTGAAGATCCATCAGGGGTTTGGCTATGGGCGCTGTGCTGGGACCATGGTTACAGAAACCTTAACTGGAAGGTAGTCAGTTTGCAGAGGAACTGGCTCTCTGTGTGGGGCTGAGAGTATGGGCCCTGGATTCCACAGACTTGAGTGTATATCCTGGCTTTACCACTTATTAGCTGGTTGTTTTTTTAATTCATGGAGTGGGATGGGAATATAGGTCTGAGTGGCTCCAGAACCCATTCTCTTAATAACCACTTCCTGATACTGCCACTCCTGGGAAATCTCTTCCTCGAGAGGGGGCTGACCCTCCTGGGCCACTCTGGAGGGCTGCCCCCTCCGCTGGCTCACTCCTGCCACTTGCCCTAAACTCTTGGGTTTTTTCTTGCCAGCCCCAAAGTCTTTGATCCTCTAATAACCTGCTAGGTGGTTCACCTTGTGGATTTATGGAATTCCACAGAATGATGATCTTGTCCTTTGGTTCAGAATGAGTAATTTTTTTCTGACATGAAACTTCCTGCTTTCCTGGTGTGGGCAGTGGACAAGGCCCTGGGTTGGGAGTCAGTTCTGCCTGATACTCCCTATGTACAAGCATGTCTCTCTTCCCTTTCTTGACCTCTGTGTCTTCCTCAACTCTGACTAAATCTCTGAGGCCTTTAATGGGAGTCTTTGTCGTTGCCTGAGCTGGTGAAATCTCTCTCCCACCAAAGAAGTCCCCCACCTGCCCTTGTCCACTATCTGCTTCAGTACCCTTCTTGGGCTTTCTTCAAGGCCATGTCTTGTGCTCAAATATATTCCTTCCCCAGAATGAGCTCAGAATGAAAGAGCACAGAGCAGGCTCCGCCCGGGAGCCAGGTGTGGCAGTGTAGACTCCTTGTGCTACTTGTGAGCTAGGCAATTCCAGAAGGGTGTGATGGGGTGAGCTGGGCCTTACGGCATGAAGAGATACCTTTACAGAGCCAACTGGGGTAAGTGGTGTCAGAAAGGCATTGCTGACCCAACTGCTAGTCTGGGCCATGGCTCAGGGCATGACCTTTCGTGTGCTGGCTTATGAGAGAACCTGTCGCCTCTGCCTCTCCACAGAGTGATGATATCACCAAAGTGATGCAAGCTGCTAAAATCGTAGAGCGGATGGTCAACCAGAACACATATGATGATGTTGCCCAGGGTAAGATTTGAAGTTCTGGCAACTACTGTTATAGCCTGCATTAAAAATCCCTCATACAAGGTCAGTATTTGAGTGTCTTATGGTAGGTCCCATCATTGCAAGAGGAGAACAAATAATCCCTCTTTTCTCTGGATATGACTAGGAAGACAAGACTTACACAGGTCAATCATGAAAATGGCATAAGAAAAAAAAATGTGTGTAGTTATGAGATCTGACAATGGTGCAGCAAAAAATACCTGCACATTAGTGAATCAATCTCATCTTCCAAGAATTCCTGGGAGGCAGGCAGGGCCAAGATTATTAACCCTACTTCATACACGAGGGACTTTAAGCCAAGGCCACCTGACTAGTGAATGGCAGAGAGGTCCCAAAAGTAGGTCTTGAAATTCCTAATTCTGTGCTCTGTTCTCTACTCTGTCCGGCTTGGGGACAATATAAATGCTAGGATGCAGACAGAAACTTCTCTGGGGATCCTCGAGAATGGAGGAAGGGAAGTAAGGGATGAATGGCAGCAGTCAAGGCAGGCTTCTGGGAGGGCTGAGCTAGATGCCCAGGGATCAGCAGAGTTTGAGTAGCAGATCAGCAGAAAGGTGGAGGTTCTAGGCAGGGGACAGCACGAACAGTGACTTGGTAGTGAAAATGAATTGCAATGGACTCTGGGGACAATGGGCAGCAGGCTCAGTGACCCAAACAGGGGCTTTGTTGGAAAGTGATGAGAGTTCAGGCTGGAGATGTGGTTGGAGCCAGTTAATGGAGGGCCTTGAATGTCACACAGGAAACCTGAGCTTTAAAGTTCAAAGATATTATCCAGGCAGGGATGCAGCCCGGTGAGAGCAGGGCTGGGGGAGAAAGTGATTGGGCAGGATAGAGAGGCAGAGGTTAAGGTGAGGTTCAGGTGTGGGGTGGAGTGGGCCTTGCCACACCTTGCCCAGACTGCATCAAGGGGATGGAGAAAACGGAGCAGTTATAATAATAAAAAGCAAGCACCAGCATTCCCTGGGAATGGCTTATGTGCCACACATGATGCTGTGCTATTTACATGTATTATTTTATTTAATCCTGACGGTCAGACTCTCAGGTTAATACCATTATATTACCTCCGTGTTATAAATGAGAAATTCAGGCTGTATTACTGGCACTTGTTCAAAACCACAGCTAGTGTGAAGTATGAGTCGTGCAGTCAGGCCTTAAACACTGGCCCCTTGGATCCATAGCCTAAGCACTTCAGCACGAGACTACAGAGCCACTGAGCTGGAAGAGACATTTCAAATAAACATTCAATAGGTCTATGCTGGTGATTAATTAGTGATGAGGTGAAGAAAGAGATTGATTCAGAAATGCCTAAATCCTGGGGGCCTGGGAAATTCTCGTGTCTTTGACAGAGCCAGGAAAACGGAGTCCTTCCCAGGGCATGCACAGCACATTCCCAAGTGGCTTGTATTTCCCTAAGAGGTTGTGCATTTATTTGGAGCAGCTGCGTCCCCAGAGTTGGCAGCTTCTTGCTGCTGGCTGGTCTCCTTTGCTGACAGCCTAGGGCTCCTCTTGGTGACTTGATGCTCATTGCTCACCCATGGGACATAGAAACCAGGGCTGCCAAGACCAGAAGCCTAAACAAGCCCCCTTGTTATCATTCAGGCCGGAAAATGACCTTGAGTGCTTTTCAAAGCTGTCAAAGTACACAGCAGCTCTGAATGAGTTTGTCACTCACACAGCTTGGCTTCCTGAAACCCAGTCTCTGCAACTAGCCCACCAAAGGGCAGCAAACATGACTGATATCCATGGAGAAATTGGTCTTGGTGAACCTTTTCATTTATGAGAACACAGTAACATCACAATGCAGTGAACTTTGATTTTTTTAATTGCATACTCTTTTCCCTCTGGGAAAGTGTAATCATGAAGGAGAAGTGAAAACAAAGAAGTGTTACCAATTAGCCTCTCTGAAAGGAGGCATTTTCAAAGATAGTCTAAGCTCAGAGATCTCTGATGTGATAAGGCTCATGCTTCTGGCCACTCCAATCTTTTTTTTGTTCTAAGACATTTTTTGAGGTTTGAATGTAGTCCCACAGTCTCAAGGTGTGGACATTGTGAAAGAGGTTGGTGTCATGCCTGGGCCATGAGCTGAGTGAAAGGATTCATTTTCTCATAGGTCACCCTTGGTTGGAGAGAAGAATGAGTATCAATCGCTCCTGTTGATTTATTTCATTGCATTCTTTGAACAGACCTTGGTTGTTTGCTCTGTGGCTGGCCCTGTGTGAGGCACTGTGGGTCCAGAGTTGATTATCGCGTGCTTCCTGCTCTCTAGAAGCTGTCTGCTGGGGAGGCAGGCAAAGGATAACAGAGGCAGCACAGTGTGACAGACGTTTCAGTAGAGAAGCACAGGGCTAGAACGGAGGCAGAAATGAACCTTCTCAACAAGAACATGAAGGCCTCACAGCAGAGGAGCAGTTTGATCTGGGTCTGGAGTGAGTAGGAATTTGCCAGGAAGACAGAGGTGTAGGACATTCTAGACACGATTTGATATGTAGAGGATATGTGAATAGCAGGCCAGAAATGACATGGAAGTAGTGGCTGGAGCCTTGGTTTGACTAGGAGTCCCTGTGCCAGGGGAGCCATGGAGGAGTTCTCAGTGGGCTGAGGGAGGTGTATGGTGAAGTGATTCATTCGTTCTCACCCTGGTAGCTCTGCAGAACGCGGGCTGGAGGAGGAGTTACTGGAGGCGGGGAGACCAGGTAGGAAAACGGTGTGATGATCCAGGTGATGGCTATTGGGGCCTGAATGTGGACAGTGGCTAAGGGTTTGGAGAGAAGTGAATGGATTAAAAGATAATCAGAAAGAAAATGTGAGCGATTAAAGAGGTCAGTCAAGGGTTACCCAGGCTTCTGGTTTAGACAAGTAGAAGGATGGATGGGACTTCTGCATCAGTTAGAGGAAATGCAAGGCAGGATAAGTTAGGGCAGGAGATGAAATTCAGTGCAGAGAGCCCCTGAGGGATCGGGCAGTTTCACTACAGTGGGCCTTGGCCGTGGCTATTAAGATGGGCAAACCTGGGATTTTACCTGTGTAGACCTGGCCACTTTATTCTAATTTACCTCCAACAACAGGGTATTTTTCTAAGCATTTTACATATATTAACTCTGTTAATTCTCAGGCGAGTCCTTTGAGATAGGTACTATTACCATTCCCAGTCAAAACAGAGGTTAATTGCTTGTCCAAGGAGGTACAGATAGAAGGTGGTGGGCCTGGATTTGCCATAAAGTGGCAGTCCCAGGGCTGACAACTTGTGTATGTTTAAGATTTTAAGTACTATGAGGATGCTGCTGATGAATACCGGGACCAGGAGGGTACGCTGCTGCCTCTCTGGAAGTTCCAAACTGACAAAGCCAAGCGCCTGGCCGTCACCGCCCTCTCCTGGTAAGTGTAGGCATTGCAGCAAACCTAGAGCCCCTGAGTGCCTCCTGCTGCCAGGCCCTAAACAGGTCACGGCTGTCTTAGCCATCTTGAGGGTGACATGCAGCATTATGAGAAAAAATGGGATTGGGATTCTTATGGATTGTAGGATAAGCCCAGGTCTCTAAGCTCAACAGTAGATGTCTGCAGTGTAGATAGGTACCGGTGTTCATGGGAAATCTTGTGTCCATGTGAGAGTCATGTCCATTTCCTGGGTCAATGGGTTCATATTTCTTTTGCAGGAATCCAAAGTACAAGGATCTGTTTGCAGTGGGACACGGCTCCTGTAAGTAATCTGGCTATTTATTTATTTGCTCACTTAACCAGCAAACACTAAGTGCCTAATCAGTGCAGAGTTCTTTGCCAAGTGTGAGAGATGCAGAGATGATTAGGATACAGTCACTGCCCTTGGGCTCATAGTCAGTTGTCTCAAGGCCGACAGTCCACACCAGCACTTTGTGCTGCCGGGTGAAGAATTATGCCAAATGAGCCTTGAAGGAGTTGTTATGGTGAAGAAAGAAGGGGAGATCACTTTTGGCAGAGGGACCAGCATGTGCAAAGGTCTGGAGGCACAAGAGATATGGCAGGAAATGAAGCTGTTGAGGGGGCCAGGGTCAGCTTGGGGGAAAGGGTTTGGTAAGCCATTCCCAGAGGCTTGGCTCTTGTCCTGAGGACAGGCTTCTGACCTTCTCCCAAGGGGAAGCCCCTGAAGGAATCGGAGAAGGGCAGGGACACGACCGGTGTAGGCGGAATTGCAGGTGTGACACTGGACTTGGGAGACCAGTTAAGAGACTGGTACAGGATCTGAACCATGACCACGGGGTGGGGATGGAGAAGCGGGCTTGAGAAGCATACTGGACCGAACCTGGGGAAGGATGGGATGGACAGGAAGGCTAGGATAGGGGAGCTGGGGGAGCCGAGTGTTCCTGACCGGACCCTGGAGCAGGCAGGGGTGGGGCAATGTTTAGGAGATGACTGTGTTCCAAGGTGCTCCTGCCCCTCCCTCCCCCCTCCCCCCTCGGCAGGAGACTGCACTGTGTGGTAATTGTTTGGTAATTTGCTCCTGGGTTGCTGCGGAAGCCCCTACCTCCTTGCTGGACTGGACGTTCCCCCTTCCCAACAGGAGAGGGCCCCACACTTCGTGTTAGCGGCAGCTTCCCAGGCTCACAGCTTGTCCTCTAGCTGGGAGGATCAGCTTCTGTGAACAGGAAAACCTTTCCATTCTCCAAGCTGCTGTTGGCTGGCAGGCGTACAAGTTCCTGGTCTCTGCCCCTCAGACCGCCTGTCTGCCCATTCTTTGACCAGGGTGGGGAGTTGGGGGGTGAGGGGGGCAGGGCAAGGAGGAGCTGGTGTTTGTCATTCCTCTCGGGGAGGAGCTCTTGGAGCAGCTCCCAGTCTCGTGGTTGGAGCTGCCTTTGAGGATGCCCTAAATGCCCGCTTTGTGTCCCTGCTCCTGCGGGTGGGCTGCTGCCAAGCTGGAAGCACCCTCCCCCTCTGGCAGGGAACTAGCACATTCCTCCCTCTCTGCTGCAGCTACTGGGCCTGGAACAGGGCTGGGGGGCTGGGCAGGCCCTCCCAGGAGTGGGTGTGGACGTGAATGGGTATGAGGCTGCTTTCAGCCCAGGCTCTCTGCCCAGGCCTGAGGTGGGGGGGTGGGGGGCTCCCCAGCAGGTGGGAGGAGAAGCTGCTTGGGCTCTAGCCCCATCCTCCTCCCACCCAGGGCCAGAAGCAGGGTCGGCTGCTCAGAGTCCTGTGGAGAGGGTCCATGGAGGCAGCCTCTGAAGGAGAAGCGTAACCCAGCCCCCAGGAATGGATGACCTAAAGTCCGACAGGCCCAGCAGCCTCCGTTGGACAGGCACTCACCAGGGAGGGCCTCTCTGTCCTTTGTTGGTCCTTTCAGCCACATCCACAGGCCCGGGAGGTGCCACTCAGCTGCGGGAGGATCACTTTCCAGTGGACTGACCTGGAACCAGAAGCCTCTCTGAGCCTTGGTTTTCTCACTGGTGACAGGGAGAGCCTGACACCTGCCGGCCCTCCCACCCAGGGCTACTGTGAGGCACACTTGTAAAAGGGGGGCAGATGTGCCCTGTAAGCTGTGGGACCACCCACAGGCACAGGACCATCATCGTTGATTTGTCTCTTGGTCTTTCCCTCAGTGTTTCTTTAGGACCCTCAGGAGAAAGAAGGCCGTGGGGGCAGAGGGGGACCAGACGGCCCCTGCCTCTCGTTTAGAGAGCAGGGCCTGGTGGCAGCCTGGCGTCTGCTGTTGGTGCTGCTGGCACCGTTGTTGACCAGCTGTCAGACAGGCATCTCTTCTCCAGAGCCCGCATATCTTAGGACCACTCTGCAGAGGCCTGAGCAGAGCCACGCTGGGCTGGCATCAGGAGGCCCCGCATTCACTCCTCAGGTTGCCTCTGGGAGTCCCATGCTCTTGAGGGCCCAGGTGCTTCCCTGGAAGAAAGAGGGCAAAGCTGAGGCAGGCCAAAGGCACCCCAGTTCCTGGACAGGGTCATTGTGAGGAGCAACTGGCTCCCCAGCATCCACCACACTGACTTTGGAGGCTCCCCGATGCCGGCCTTCTGCCATCAGACTTTGCCTCATGTGAACAGACACTGGAGTGAACATTAGGGTGTGTCAATTGCTTTGACCCTGAGGAGCTCAGTCCAGGCCTCCTTTTGCCTGGAATTCCTAGACGTTTATTCTCTGACCCAGCCAGATAAGACTTTGGCAGGGGTAGCCATGTACCCAAGAAAGGACGGAGGCCAAGCCCCTATTTGGGGGACAGGGCAGGTTGCCTGGAGCCAGGCCAGGAGTAAGCTGGTGGGGAAAGGGGTTGCCTGCAGCAGCACAGAAGCATCCGCACCTGCCTCCGCTCTGGCGCTGCTGGGTGCCAGGTGAAGGTCATGCCAGGCTGCGTACAGGGCAGAGACTGGGTGCCTCCTAGGGCCAGGCTCCATGTTCCAAGCAGAGGGGAGAAAGAGGCATCAGCAAGTGAAAGCAGATGGAGGAACACTGGAGGGCAAAGGAAGCTAGTCCAGGAAGAGGGGCAAAGCTGGGTTGCAATTATGTCAGCCTGCTGCACTGATGGGGTCCTTTCCAGCTCATTAGCCAGTTCATGGCACGGGAATGGGGACTCCTTATGGTCTGTCAGGCAGGGACGATGGAACAGATCTTAGGAACTCTGCGTGGTCCTGACTTCCCAGCTGTCCCTTAGCCCAGCCTCCCTCTGGGGGCCGCACCATCAAAAGGAGCTAAAGCCAGGCCCTGAGTCCCAGCACTAAACCCATTCCCACTCAGTCACATCGCACCCGGCTTGTCCCTGTGCCTGCCCAGGCCAAAGATACACTTGTAGGGATTTAAATCTTGCCCGATCATTTATTTGTCAGCTTCACTAATTAAGCAATGTTAATTTCATTTACTGAAAATGGAAATTCATCCACCTCATTTCTCCCTGTTCATCCTCCACACACAAAATCCATCATTCCTCGGCTGCAGGCTGCGTAAAATTTACAGGACTAATTATGCTGTCAGGTCTCTTTGTAAATACAGTCCATAAAGGCCACTATGCTTGCTGGGTTGTAGTGCAAGGGCATTGCTGTTGTTAGTTTAATTACTGGTTAGTTATTTAGGTTCTCAAATGTTTGCCTCATTTTCCCTAAATCAAATTAAATGTCCCGCTTGATGTATTCTGTCTCCAAGGCTTTGCTCTTACTTCCCACACTGTTTAAATATGAATTCTAATTGGATGAGAGTGCTTGGAGAAGCCCAGCTGCCTGGGAGGCTGAGCTCAGCCTGGCACCGTGGCCTCTGGGCCATGCTGGGGGTTTGGAACCCTCTAGCACCGATGCCTTTTCTTGGGGGCAGCCTTGGGGTGGTACCCTGCCTTTGGGGGCTACGAAATCCAAGGGGCATTTCTGTTCCTGAAGTCCAAGGTGGCAGGGCTGGGGTGTAGGAAACCGAGGGAGGATTTCATTACTGTCATCGGAAGTGCTGAGGATCATTGCATCCACTTTCCTGACTTCTGGAGGGACAGCTTCCAAGCCACCCCAGGAAAAGGTGCCATCTACGCAGGCGTCTTCTTCTGATTCTTAAAAGTGGGGTTTGGGTCAGCCTTCCCCAAATGCCTACAAAATTAGTGTCCTATTGCTGCTATAACAAATGACCACAAACCTAATGGCTTAAAACAACACGGACTTATTATCTTACAATTCTGGAGGTCAGAGGTCTAAAATGGATTTCACTGAACAAGAATCAGGGATTGGCAGGGCTTCATTATTGAAGGCTCTAGGGGAACATCCGTTTCCTTGCCTTTTCCTGCTTCTCGAGGCTGCCCACATTCCATGGCTTGTGGCTCCCTTCCAGCTAGCAATTGCATCATTCTGACATTTGCTTCTGTTGTTACATCTCCTTCTCTGACTCTCCTGCCTCCCTCTTTCCCTTATAAGAGCCCCTGTGATTACGCTGGGTCCACCCAGATAACCCAGGGTAATCTCCCATCTCAAGGTCTTTAACTTAATCACGTCTGTAAAACCTCTTACTGCACAAAGTAACTTATTTATGGGTTCTGGGGATTAGGACATGGATATCTTTGGGGGACATTATGCAGCCTACCACAGCCCCCCTCCATGGGCCCCTTGTATGACTTTAAAGGGAGTCATTAAACAACCGCTGCTTTAGAGTCATCCCTGAACTGGACTCATTTGGGATGCCACGTAAGAGAGGAGAGGGGGCTTGCTGTCCGAGGCTGGCTCAGTATCCTTGTCTTTACAACTTGTCATCTACTTCCCTGTGCTCACTGACCTGGCTTTAGCCTGGTGCTCCAACATGCCCTCTGCCTGTCCAGCTCTCCCTGAATCCTGAGCAGGAGCCCAGGCTTCTCCTGACAGCCAGAACTCTCTAGAGCGACCCCCCAACAATGTAGAACGGTAACTTGCTGGGCAAAGATAGAGCTGGGGGGGCTGAGGCTCCCACTGGTGATTGCCAGTTCCGGAAGTCATCCATCCCTGCTCCTCACTGGGCCCGAGCAGAGGGAACTGAGGGCAGTGAGAGGTCTACGGTGGAATGAAGCTATCCCTCCCCTGAGGCTATGGCTTTCTGAGAACTGCCAGATGAGGCGCTAGAAGGTGGTTGGCTCTCCTCTCCCAAACCTTGTGGATCATTGACGACCAAGTCAGAGAGGCCTCAGAGATTATCCAGCAGAGCAGGGTTAGCAGGAGGCAGCCCTGCCCCTGGAGAGAGCAAGCCTGCTCGGCCCTGTCAGGCCATGTTTACTCCGTCCTTTGGGGGAGGGCCCTCTTCTCAACCAAAGGCTGCCTTAGCACAGGGCACCCAAGATGGAGGGTGGCTCTAGCCTCCCCCCTGCCCAGCTCTGGCTCCTCTGAGCTTGGGAAGGGTCCTGGGCTGGTGGCAGGAGAGCTGGACTTGAGGGCTTGGGACTGGATTCTGTTCAGCGACGGCACTGTCAGGATGGGCACCAAGTGTGCAGAGAATGAAAGAAAGAATGGGAAGCTCTCCCTTGACATGGGGCCACCAGGGAGGAGGAGCTCTGCAGAGGGGTCCATGGTTGACCACCAAAAGCTGTGCCCAGGCCAGAAGGATGGCACAGTGGCCTGTGGGAGCCAAATTGGCTGGTCTGGGACTTCTGATTCTGGGGGCATGCCCAGAGCTAGGACTCAGGCTGCAACTGGGGATTTGAGGGCCAGGAGGGATGGGGAAATGCCCAGAGGTGGCTAGTTTGAGACTTCTATAGGCAATTCCATGTCAGTCCAAACTGAACCCCTGTCCTTGGCTGAGGGGCATCATGCAGGCACCTAAGGACAGCAGCCTGCCCCTTGCCTAAGGCATCTGAACCCTCTCTGAAGATACTGCTCCTTCCCAAACCCACACACATTCTTCACGTAGTAATTTTTTGAGCTGCATCCTTTCCTGTACCCCAAAGGGACAATAAAGAGAATGACGGTCAGTCACTCAGATAAACCTGGTCACCTTTACTGGTCGTTAGATCCTCCCAGGAACCCTTAGAAAGGGTAGACCAAGTCTTATGATGCCATTTCACAGACAGAGAAGATGGAGCCAGAGAGGAAGCCCACTCTCTGGAGAGGCAGAGCAGGGCAAGGCTTGTCCATCTGGTGGAAGGGGCACAGGGGCTTCCTGGCAGGGCAGCTGGATGCTCCAACCACAGAGGCCCATCTTCCCCGGGACAGATGACTTCATGAAGCAGAGCCGGGGCATGCTGCTGCTCTACAGCATGAAGAACCCCAGCTTCCCGGAGTACGCCTTCAGCAGTGACAGCGGCATCATGTGTCTCGACATGCACATGGACCACCCCTACCTGGTGGTGGTGGGCCACTATGACGGCAACGTGGCCATTTACAACCTCAAGAAGCCCCACTCCCAGCCCATCTTCCGCAGCTCGGCCAAGTCTGGCAAGCACACGGACCCCGTGTGGCAGGTCAGCCTCAGACCAGGAGGGGAGACATGGGTACGGATGAGTAGTGTGTGGGCCTGGGAGCCACTGAAGAAGGGACTTTGGGGAGGAGGGGGCCACAGACAAGGGGGTGGGGATAACAGAGGCCAAGGGTGTGAGAAGGGGCAGAGAAGGGCAGAAGTGAGAGTCACAAGGTAAGAGGGTCTGCAGTAAGAGCCCATGGACGAAAGGGTCATGGGCTCCCGGTCATGGGTGCAGGTTCCTGGTCATGGGTGCGATTCCCGGTCATGGTTGCAGGTTCCTGGTAGGGGCAAGTGTGGGAGGCAACCAATCGATATGTCTGTCTCACCTGATGTTTATCAATCTCACTCTCTTCCCTCCCTTTCACTCTCTAGAAATCAATGGAAAAAATATCCTCGGGTGAGGATTTAAAGAGAAAAGGGCCCATCTGTCTGCTAAGGTTCTCTTAGGTATGGGGATTAGTGACCAGAGCCTGTGGCTAGAAGCCTCCAGGGCCTGACAGGCCTCTGCTGGGTCAAGGGCTCCAGTTCCCTGTCTGTGGGGTTCTTCCACTCCCCACAAGGCTCTCCCCTGCCATCTGGGCTAGATTTGGGGGAACTCCCAGACAGGGGTGGGTGCTGCCCATTCCCACCCTCTGAGTGGGACCATAAGGCCTAGTAGGCAAGGTCTGACCCTGAGTCTTCTCTGTAGCTCCCCACTTCTCCAGACAGACATAGAATGGAACTGTTACCCAGACATGGGGTCTAGATTTCACCCTGTCTCCCATCTTATTACTCTGGGAGTGGATTTCATTTCATGGTTTCGCTCTCATGGCTCTGGCTTTATAGGCCCTTCCTACTGTTTTCCAAAGGTCCCCTTCCTTCTGAGGCTGTGTACCCTGACCTCATGGGCAGGTCTGGGAGAATCTAGGGATAGATTTTTGCCTCAAGTTGCCCAAGGCCTCTGGGCTCATCAGACAGTGCTGGGACTCTGTCTTCTCATGTTCTTCTGCCCCCTGCCCTGACACAGTCTGCAGTCAGGCTCTGCGCCCCTACCTCTTCTGGCCCTGAGCTCCCTGAGTCATGTGGACACCTACCTGCTCCAGGTACTGGCTCTCAGCTCTCAGGCCTGAGTGGAGGGAGGACTGTCCAGGCACGGGACATGGTGCTCTTTCAGCTTCATCCTTCACCCAGAGCAGGGGCAGAGGGAGGGAAACAATTGTCTCCATCCAGAGATGTCTGCAGGGTTTTTATGCTCTCAGATAGTCCAGGGCTAAGCATGGAGCATCTCTGGTTGGCCTGACCGCCCTCTTCAAGCCCAGGAGAAGGCCAGGGGCCAAGGCCAACCACCCTGCTCCCACTCTGCTATGTTCTCTAAATCAAATAGCAGGTTGGGGAAAGAAATGGGGCATGCAGAAGCCACATTCTCCCTCTCACTGGGCAGATGCCAGGGAGACTGGAACCCATCTGGAGAGGGTGGCCTTCAGCTCTCCCACCATCCTGTCAGGAAAACAGGGCTGCTGCCTTTGCAAAACTGAAGACTCAGAGTTCTTGGCTGGAATCATGGCTTGGGACATGGGAGGGGCCTGCCTGTCTCTCACTAGTTTACTCACTTCCTGCTTCCTTCTTTTCCTCATTTCCCACCCCCCCTCTTCCTCATTCATCCATTTGGTAACTCCTCTCTGCTTGCTCCTCTGGGAGCTGGGGATGCTTAAGGGCTTGTTCTCTGGAGTTCCTAGTGGGCAGATAACCACAGCCACAGGCTGAGCAGGACAGGGTGTATGCTGTGGGTACAGAGGGCTCATGGGGGCCCTGAGGAGGGACACTCAAATTGTCCGGGATGGGGAGCAGGGCAGAGAGAGCCAGGGAGGTCTTTCTAGAGGAAGCAACACCAGAGCTGAATTGTGAGGGATGAGAAAGTAGTAGTGAGATGAAGAAGGATACAAAGGGGTCACAGGTGCAATGACACAGGGCATCAAGCAGAGTGGCCTGCCGGACAGCACATCATTTGACACACATGCAAGAGAGAGGGACGGGGAGCAGGACCTGGGACAAGCACAGATACCCATTCACGAGTGTGCTTCTCTAGCAGGTCAGAAGCTTGGAATTTGTAGGTTGGTGGTTGCAAATGAAGTGTTTGTATGGAAGCCCAACATGTTAAAAAGATGGGAGTGGAGCTGCTGGTAGGATCAGGGTCCTACTTGTTTGAGGGCTCCTTGTTATCACTACCTGTCCCCTGAGGTGCTTTCCCCAGACTCCTGAGATTTCCCCAGCATAGTTTGAAAGTCACTGCCCAGCCATCAGAGGGTTTTGGGCAGAGGAGTAATGCAGTTATGTTTGTGTCTGGGAGCTTTCCTCTGGCTGTAGCATGAGAAATCCTGAAGCCTGAGCTAGGACAAAGGCAATGCAGAGAGAAGTGAGAAGATAGAGTCCAGAGCTGTTGAAGCAGTAAAAGCAATAGAAGGAAACAACTGATTTCATATGAGAAAGGGAAGAATTGGTGATGCTGCCTGGAGCTCTGATTTGTGGTGCCCAGGACTTGGTTTGGGGATCCCAGTGGGGCATCTGTAGAAGTGGGAAATGCAGAAGAGGAACAGGTTTGGCCAGAGGTTAATACAAGGTGCCAGAGGAGGGGTCCTACAGCCAGTTGGCCATATAGCCTGGAGCTTGAAGGAGAGCCAGGCTGGTGAGTGAAATAGAAGAGACATCAAAGCTTAGGTCTTTCTCAAAGGGACTGTGTCTCAGGGATACTAAGGAGGTTATTTTGGATCTCAAATGCCAGGCTGGGGCAGATGGACTTTGTTCTGTTGGCAGCAGGGAGCCATGGAAGGTTTTAGAGCCAGGAAGAAAACTGTCCATTCACAGAGGACTGGGTTCCTGTCTCATGACACAGACTACATCCCCAGGGAGCCCGCCTGAGTAGCCCACCCCTGCTCATGCCCCACTGTGAGGCCTCGACTAGCCACACTTTGCTCAGGGTGTGTGTGTGTGTGATCTGTACAACACCGGGGAAGTTGGTAAGAAGGATAAATGAGCACAAATTGGGGTCAAGCAGGCCTGCCCTAATCAGATAAGGCAGAAGAGAAAGAAGCTGGTAAGCAGCCTCCATCTCCTCCCTACCACCTGCTTGCTGGGCATTCATTCATTCTCTCTCTTTCTGTTTTAAATATATTTTTGTTGATTTCAGAGAGGAAGGGAGAGGGAGAGAGAGATAGAAACATCAATGATGAGAGAGAATCATTGATTGGCTGCCTCCAGCACTCCCTCCCCCCCACCCCCCCGTCCCACCCCTGGATCGAGCCCGAAATACAGGCATGTTCCCTGACCGGGAATAGAACTGTGACCTCCTGGTTCATAGGTCGATGCTCAACCACTGAGCCACGCTGGCTGGACTCATCCACTCCCTTAACCCCACTTACTACCTGTACCCCCCCCCACACACACACACACTTTATTCCTACCCTCCCACCTCTACCCCAGGAGTATGTGTGTGACTTGCACACACTTACACACATACACACTCACTGGCAAATGCACACACCACCCCTCATTGGGCATCAGGCTGCTAAGTGGGGTGTGAAATACAATTTCCATGCATGCTGGCGGCTGCTCATTAAACACTTCCTTTTGCAGCTCCCTAGCGCCTATTACAGCCTGGCCTTTGACACCCCCATCCCCTCCCCTCTTTAAAGGGACTACCTTTACACAGAGGGGAAGTGGTCTCAGTGTCAGGGCTATCTCTGACTTGTGTCTCACAGGCTCTGCGGTGTTCTAGCCCCCCCCCCCCCCAACCCCGCCCAGTGAAAGCGCAAAAGAGGGCTGCCCTTCTGCAGCTCCGATCAGGCAGGCCTGGGTAGTGGCTGTGGAGGCGCAGTCCCTTCCTTCTCCCCTGTCAGTGCCCCTCCGCAGTCATGGTGACAGCTGTGGTTACAAGCATGGCACTGGGTTCCTGCCCTCCCTCACTGGGCCTCTGCTTGAGACAAGGGAAGGGACCATGGTCCCCGCATGGGAGGTCTGGAGGGAGCAGGAGGATGGAAAGCTCCAGGCACCCGGCCCCTCCCCAGCCCTCTGGGACATGGCTTAGCCCAGCCTCCACATCTGGCAACAGAAACTTGAGCCTCAAGCGTGTCATCTTCATAAGACAACAGCTCTGTCTCCAAAACACTTTCCCATATGTTTGCTGCTGGCCCTGAGAAGATGGGTGGGGCAGGATTATTAACCCCAATTTGCAGATGGAGAAATGCAGCTCAAATTGAGCTCTGAGAGAAAGATTCCGGGAGCAGGAGCGAGTGGTGAAGTGAAGGCGAGAAGAGGGGAAAGACTGCCTAGAGAAAGGCTGAGCCTGGAAGAGGAGATCGGGGAGGGGGCACACAGGGAAAGCCAGCTGCAGAACATTTGCACCCCAATTCCTAGGATGATAATGATAATGAGGACATCAGCTAACATTTGTCGAACACTTAATATATGCCATGTTCTGACCTAAGGGCTTCACATTTATTATCTCACGTTTCCTCACAACAAACCTGTGCGGTTACGGTTCCTGTTTCGTAAATGAAGAAACTGGTGGTGGGCCCTGTCCTTTCCGGCCCTGTCTGCGGGAGGAGGTTGAACCAACCCAGGGAGGAGCCCGGCACCTCCACCGACAAGCCAGTGCCCCCACTTGGCACTGTTGCCCCAGGATAGTCAGGGCAAGAGGGATAAGAGAGGCAGGGATGGGTAGGAGGGAGGGTGGGCCAATTGTGGGGCGCTGGGCCAATCATGGGGCGCTGGGAAATGGGCTTCCAGAACTTGCTTCTGAAGCTCAGACAGGTTCTTGAGGGAGCCCTGCTCAGCTCACAGGCCTAACACAACACTCACTCGGAGTCCCAGGGCTCACAGTCTGGATGTTTCAGGTCAAGTGGCAGAAGGACGACATGGACAACAACCTTAACTTCTTCTCTGTGTCATCTGATGGCAGGATCGTGTCTTGGACGCTCGTGAAGGTGCCTGTTTCCCAGAGGGGTAACGCGGGGGTGGATGGGAAGTGGGGGTGGGGGAGCTGATTGAAAAAGGGATACCCCCCAACCCTGCTGATCCATTCCTGTCCATGTGCCCTCCCCATCCGCTCTGTGACTGCAGAGTGAGCTGGTTCACACAGATGTCATCAAGCTGAAGGTGGAGGGCAGCACCCTGGAAGGTCCAGAGGGGCTACAGCTATACACAGTGGGTAGGAGCCTCAGCTCACTCACATCCAGGCCTGGCCACAGCACTCAGGCCCATGCCGGTCAGTGATGGGGGCCCTCCCCAGTACTGAGTACTCCCTCCTCCACTTGTGCTGGAGGTAGGACTGGAGGTAATGGGAAAGCCTGGCCTGGGCTGTTTGCAGACCGTCCCTGTTCACGCAGGTCCCATCCCTGCTTGCAGCCCCTGTTCCTGTTTATGCAGATCAGGTGCTGTTATGCAGATCCAACCCTGTTTATGCAGATCAGGCCCCTGTTTTCCCAGATTCTGTCTCTGTTTACTCAATCCCCACCCTGTTTATGCAGACTACATCCCTGTTTGCACAGACAACGTCCTTGTTTGCAGACCCTGTCCCTGTTTACCCTGACCCTGACCCTGTTAAACTCAATCCCTGCCTTGTTTACCCAGGCCCCATTCCTGTCTGCAGAAACCCTGGCCGTTTGCAGAGTCCCAACTGCCTGGGACCAGCAGCAGGCCAGAGGGCCGGTTTCTGTTTGCCGTGCTGGCCACAGCCTCACAGGGGCTGGTTCAGGCTGTCCTGGGAGCCTGCTGTGGGAGGGAGGTGCTGGGAGCCTCCTGCCCAGGCCCCGGCTAAAGTCGCTCCTCTTCTCCCAAGGCTGTGGCACCGCTTTTGACTTCCACAGAGAGATCGACTACATGTTCCTAGTGGGCACAGAGGAGGGAAAAATCTACAAGGTGAGGCATTCTGGCCCCTGTGCCAGCTCCTTACAGGGTGGCTTAAACCTGAATACTCCAGGAGCTTAGCATTCTCAACAGACCCTGTTCTGACAGATCTTAGTGCTCATCAGTTCTAGAGGCTTCTTGGGGGACGAGAATGTATTTCTTGAGCTGATTGGGTGGCAGGAAGGACTGGCTGCAGGAAAGGGGAGGAAGAACCTAGACTCTAGGTCCTAGAGGGTGACTGTAGCCCAGCTCAGCGTCTTTCCCTCAGGGCCCGCCCTCCCTTCCTGGAGGGGTAGAGGTGGGAGTGGGAGTAGGAACATTCTGGGAAGATTTCCTGGCGTAGATCTGAACTTGAGCTGAGCTTTGAAGGCCAAGTAACGAGAAAATTTATCTCTGAATATCGGGTGCGTCCCAGTCGGCAGGATGAAACTTCATGGCCAGTTTCCACAAGGTCTGTGTTAGTAGGTGAACATCCTTTGAACCTCTCCATCCATCCAGAAATAGCTCTACTGCAAGCTTTTCTTAGGCTTAGAGACCAGAATGTTAATTACAGGCAGCCTCCCAGGAGTCCCTGAGGCCCAGCCAGAGTTGGTCTGAATGCAAAAGAGGTCCCCACCCCCTCTCCACCCCTCCCAGCGGCGGCTCAGGAGGGAATGACTAGTCAGTCACCAAGTCCAGGAGGGAGGGTCAGGGCAAGAAACAGAATAGGAAATCACAAAATTGGGATTTGTTTCTGTCTCTGCACCTGCTCTTACCTGGGCAAGGTGGGAGGTTTGTCACTGTTGCAAGGATTCTGTCTGTGGGCTGCGGATGAACCCAGGGCTCTGTCCACAGGCCTTGGCCTGGACACAGGACCCCCAGACCTACTCTGCCTTGGCTCAGAGAAAAAGGCCTTTTTTCCACCTGGTCTGGAATCCGCTGGGCAGACTACAGCACTTTCCCACACCCTCCAGGAAGGCTCTCCCCCAGCCCCTCCCCCCCCCCCCGCCCCCAACCCCCAGGCCGCTAAGCCCCTTCTTTCTCTGGGATGTGTTGTGGGTGAGAAGAGCAGCTAGAGCTTAGCCCCAGCTTCTCTATGACAGTGATGTGGGGTAAAGACAGGAGAGGAGTTTCAGGGACCCTAAGGAAGTATGGCTGCTGACCTCTCTTTCATACCTGACCCCTGACCCCTTCCTTACTCAACCCCCAGTGCTCTAAATCCTACTCCAGCCAGTTCCTGGATACCTATGATGCCCACAACATGGCAGTGGATGCTGTGTCCTGGAACCCATACCACAGCAAGGTCTTCATATCCTGCAGCTCCGACTGGACAGTGAAGATCTGGGACCACACCGTCAAGTGAGGGGCCTGCCCCTGGCCCTGCCCGTCCTCAGGCTCCACCCTGGGCAGGCTGGGGCCTATGGGTTCCGGCACTGGGAACCTTCTGTGTCATGGACTTTCCACCCCTCCACCACTGCAGGACCCCAATGTTCATCTATGACCTAAATTCAGCCGTGGGTGATGTGGCCTGGGCACCATACTCTTCTACTGTGTTTGCAGCAGTCAGCACCAATGGGAAGGTGAGTGTCGTCTTTCCGACCTTGCTGAGCTGCGCCTGGAGATCGGATGAAGTATCCTGAGCCTTTCCTCCCGGGAGCACACTCTGTGCCCAGCCCAGGTCGGGGAAGACGGGATGGAAGGACTGTCTGTGTATTCTCAAGGGCCAGGCTACCCAGGGCCCTGTCAGAAGGGAAACTTCATCCCCCGAGGCCTCGAGCAGGAAATGGGTCTGTTCATCCTGAAGGCGAGAGCACTCTGGGGACTGCGATGCCATGAGGAGCAGTTATCTTCTCTGGGGCCCCTGGGTGGGAGCTACAGATGGCAAGTACCAGCTTGACGTAAGGAAAAACTTGAGTCAGAGTTGACCTGTGATTAAAATAGTGTCTAAAAGGTGGTAAGTCCCCATCCCTGAAAGTGTGCAAGTTGAGTCTGAGAAGGGGAGATGGGAGTTCAACATGAGAACTGGTAAGAGCTCAGCAAAAAAATATTGTGTAAGAAAATTCTGAGATGCAAACCCATTTTCCTGTGGACTGAAACTGAGAGGCACCCGCCCAAGGAAAGAATATAGTGATTAAGGCATCCTGTTGAAGTCTGTTGGTCATCTATTTGCTGAACAGATGTTTACCAAGGGTCAACCTGTCGTCCCACTCCAGGCCAGGGCCTGGTGAATCAGGTCCCTGCTCTCAGGGAGCATATATTCTAAAAAAGGAAAGAGACAAAAAGCAACACTGAACTCCCATGGCCCTAAGTGCTAGGCAGAAATTAAAGAGGATGATGTGCATGCAGATGTTCACAGCAGCATTATTCCTAATGGTCAAAGGTGGAAAGAACCCAGATGTCCATCAGCGGATGACTGGATAAACAAAATGTATATCCAAAAGGATGATTATTCAGCAATAGCAAGACAGGCTACAACATTGGGTGAACCTTAAAAATATGCTTAATGTAAGAATCCAGTCACAAAAGACCACACATTATATGACTTTATTTATATTTGTCTAAATAGGCAAATCTATAGAGACAGGAAGTAGATTTGTGGTAGCCTAGGGCTGGGATGGTGATGGGAGAAAATGGGGAATGACTGCTAATGGGCACAAGGGTTCCTTCTGGGGTGATGAATATGTTCTAACATTGGTTGTGGTGATGGTTGCATAACTGAATATACTAAAAACCAAGAATTCTGTACTTTAAATGGGTGAATTATATCTCAATAAAGCCGTTACGTTTTCGAAAGAGAGTGATGCAAAAGGAAAGGACCGGGTGGTCTCTTAAATAGAGTGGTCGGGGAAAGCTTCTCCCAAGAGGCGATATTCAAGCTGAGAGGTGAATAACAAGAAAGCGCCAGCCACATGCAGATGCGGGAAGGGAGGAGCAGCGTATTCCACACGTGGGAAGAGCTAGTGCAAATGCCCTGAGGCGAGAAGGAGTTTGAGGGGTTTAAGGAATAGGCAGGCAAGTGTGGCTGGGGTCTCGGGAACAAAGGGGAAAGAGTATGAGATGAGCGTGGAGAATCTCGAGTAAGGAATCTGGATGTTATGTTGGTGCCAAGGGAGACTATTGGAGGGTTTTAGATTGTTTATAAAGGTAAGCCTGGCAGCTGCAGGGAGGAGGGGATGGTAGTAGGAGGGCAAGAGTGCAAGCAGGGAGTCCAGTCAGGACACTGCCACAGCTGTCCAGGCAAAAGGTGCTAATGGTTTGGACATAGGGCCTGGAAAACACAAGAGCAAACATTTGTTGAGCACTTACCTGACAAGCACTATCTGAATACCTACACATATTAACTGGTATGAACCCTGACTCTGCTACTTACTAGCAAGTTAGCCTTAAGAGCCTCTATCCACTCATTTATAAAATGGAGATATCAGAATCTGCCTTACAGAGTGGCTGTGAGGATTATTAGATAATACAAACCATGTACCATGCTTACCCAGAGTCTAGTACATAGTAAGTGTTCAATAAATGGTAGCTGCTGTTATTGTTAATTCTGCATAGACTTACATTTTCTCCTAAACTTTTTATTTCCACTTCCTCAACCACAGGAAAAAACATAAATAGAGACACAAATCCCCTCTCTACAGCTTCTAGCTCCAGTGTGCTAGGCTTCTATCCTGTTTCCCCAGAAAGGCCAGGGGTGGCTCCCCTGCCCTCCCCAAGCAGGATTGGCCACACAGGCCCATTAGCTCCTGAAGCCCCATTAGCCCCAAGTGTGCTGACACCCACCTCTCCACAGACCCACGTGTTTGACTTATCCATCAACAAGTACGAGGCCATCTGCAATCAGCCCGTGGTGGCCAAAAAGAAGAACAAGATCACCCACGTTCAGTTCAATCCTGTCCACCCCATCATCATTGTGGGCGATGACCGTGGGCACGTCACCTGCCTCAAACTCTCACCCAACCTGCGCAAGATGCCAAAGGTATGCTTGGGAAGTGTGGGCTACCAAAGGAAATAGTCTCCAGGGCAGTGGGGGATGGGAGAAATGGGAGGAGCCAGGGGGTGACCCCCAGGTTTGTGGCTTGAGAGACCCAGGGTAAGGGTGATGCCACGGCCCAAATGAGGAGCATAAGAGAAACAGGGTTGTGGGGAGACAATGAATGGACATGCTGAACTTGAGTTTCCTGCGGGGCCCCCAGGTGCATATCCAGTGAGTAGGTGACCATATGGGTCTGAAGCCTGGAGGAAGCACATGGGCACCACTGGCTTATCTGGTGTAGACCAGGGTGCTTGGGGCTTAGTCATTGGCTGGGCTTACGCAGGCTTCAGCTCCAGCGGTCCCTGTGCTGGGAACTGTGGGACCACACAGGGAAGAAGGAAATGAGCCATGAGGAGGAGAACTAGGTCAGTAGCCAGACAGTCCTCCTTTTGAGCGCTGGTTCTTTTCCGAGATGTCTAATGACCTGGAGACCCTCCTCAGAGCCCAAGGGCCCCAAATACAAGCCACGCTGCCCAGAGCCCTGATCTCAAAGTCAACGGTAGATCTCAAAAGTCCAGATTCAGACTGAAGAACCCAGGCTTAGAATCCAGAGCTCAAGGGCCCAACTTAAAAACCAAAGATCGGGAGCTCAGAGTTCAGTCCTGCCCACTTGGTTGCTAAGAGAGGAAATGGAACGTGTTTTCTGGGCCAGGATCAGAGGTGAGCCAGGGCTGGGCCAAGTTGCCCTGATGACTATACTTTGTAGTTGCAATTTGAGGCATTTACTGCAGTTTGAGGCAAGAGCAGGGGCCTGTCATTTTTAACAACTGACACCGGCCCCTCTGCACCCCTACCAAGGCAGAGGCCACTGCGCCATCTCTCTGGTGCTGGCCTGTTCTCTTCCCTTCCAAGGCCAGGGAGGCAAGGGCTGGAAGTTTGGCCAGGCCTGTAATTGTAGCCAGCTGGGGGAGGGGCTGGACTTGGCTATAAATACTCAGAAGGCTGCTAAGCGCCTGCAGCTGTGGCCCAGAGGCTGTGGTGGGCTGGGGCTGGGGGTGGGGTGGTCGGGTGTGGCCAAGTTCTCTGCTGAGCCCAAGCTAGTTGGCCTCAAGGAGGGGGAAGGAGGCAGCACAATTAGTGGAACAGATAAAATCTGCTCTTAATTTAGTGAGGAGAGAGACCCAGGCTTGAGCTGGCAGAGCTGGACAGCCTGTGAGAGAGATGATGGTCATCTCTTGGGGTGGGGGACAGCCCTCATGCGATGAGGGTGGTAGATCTGGGTGGGACCTGCTCTGCCCACTCTGACCCAGAGAGGCCAGGATCTCCCAGTCAGATCCAACTCCTCTCAGAGCAAGGGCGCCATGCCTGGGGGAGCTGGGCTCTGTGTATCTGGTGACGGAGAACATGGGCACCTTGGGACTGGAGGGCCTGAGTGTGTGCCACCTGAGAGCTGATACTTGGGCGGGCTGGAGGGTCCTGTGAAATGGCCATCCTATCAGCAGCCAAGTGATTGGTGCAGACAGAAGTGTCCTGGTCGTCGTTCCTGACTCTCCTCTGGGGCTGCAGCCCCCTGCCTTCCCAAGCAGGACTGGCCACACAGGCCCAACTCCTGGCCCAGGGAGCTTCCCATGGGAAGCGTGTCAAAGGCCAAGGACCACCTTGCCCTAACTACTGTGTATATAGGTGGGAAATTGAAGTTTAGAAAGGCAAGGGACTTGCCCAAGTCATACAGGGGGTTAATGACAAAGCTGGAACTAAAGCCAGGTCCCCTACCTCCCAGGGGATGGGATGAGGCCAAGAAGAGAACATGAACTTAATTTGGGAGTGTGGGAAGGAGAGAGAAAGACATCTTTGTCCTCTGCCTTGAGAGTACAGAGGTAAGCTGGGTCGTACCAAAGGCAGGGGCCCGCCAGGGGAGGGGAGACAGGTTTGGGAGCAGGTGCAGGGGTCACACCAGGAGGAAATCAGAGCTCCAAATGGTGTCAGCAGCCAGGATGGGGCCAGGAAGGGGGCTGCTGGCCTTGCACTCTCTCCCACCTCACAGCCCAGGCCAGATCCAGGCGGGCTCTCAGCAGGCAAGGCCGGGGCAGGTGCCAGTGAGCACAGGTGGCTGAGGGCAGGGGCTTGGAGCAGAGGGAAGGCAGGAAATGGCAGCCCCAGCCTAGCCCACACCCCACTTTCTGGACAGAAAGGAGGACAGGACTGGTGCTGGTCTGCCAAGGACCTCTCGAGGCCTGTGAGTGACACACACCCCAGTGTCCCACTCTTTTCTCGGGGCTCAGCTTACCAGCGAAAGCATTAGAGTGCTCTGTAGGAGGGGCGAGGGGTCATAAGCCCGGGTCTGCTTCTCTGGGGAACAGTTGCAGCTGAAGGACATCTAGATTCAATATGGCATATCCCAACTGCCCTCCTGGGTCTCCTGACCCCTTCCCCCCACCCTGGGTATGTCTGACACAGCAGGCCTGGCTCCAAATAGCACCCCACTCCCAACCTGACCTAAAGCATTGGCTTAGGGTACTAGGTGAAGGGCGCCTGTGGTTTTCTCACACCCCTCTCCCTCAAAAACACACACCGCTTAGCTCCTTGTCAGAACTCAGTCAGGGACCTTCCTATGGGAAGGGTGGTCCCAAGAGTCAGAAGCTCTACCTCTTCCCAGGTTTTCAGCTCCCCCTGACTTAAAGGCTTGTTCCTCTGAGGGCCAGTGGGTGGACACCCTCCCCCACTGCCCCCGACATTGAGACCCTATGTCCATGTGAGGCTCAGAGCCAGATCTGGATGCTTCTTGCAAGCCTCAGCCAGCCATTGTGTCACCTATCTTGAGTTGGGGAAGGATCAGGTAGGGGTGGGGATCAGGTAGGGGTGGGGAAGGCAGGATCTGGAACCTAACTGGGCAGGGGAGGGGCAAGGCACTGCTAGGACCCAGACAGAGGTGGCCCATCCCTCACCGTTCCTCCCCATGTACTTCCCTTCTCTCCAGGAAAAGAAAGGGCAGGAAGTGCAGAAGGGTCCAGCTGTGGAGATCGCAAAATTGGACAAATTGCTGAACCTGGTGAGGGAAGTGAAACCCAAAACCTGAGGTCCTTGTCCTATTTCTTGAACCCAGTGCTTGTAGCCCCTGACCCTGGTATCAAGTCCAGCCTTGGCTCCTAATATGTGACCCCACCCCGGATCAGGTCCCCACTTCAGCCCTGGTTCCAGCACCTCATCCCATGACTTGGCCCTCAATCACCAATATCGACTCCTACTTTGCACAAATAAACCTGTCTGGAAACCCACCCCCACCTTTAATTTTGCTGCTGCAGGGCCCTCAGGAAGAGGAGAAAAATCTCAGGGTAGAACCATGGTTCCGTTTATTATCCAGCAAACAGTGGGAGGACCAGAGGAGGGGCCCAGCCTGGACGCCCTCCCATTATTGCCAAGGATTCCAGTTTGCTTTCCCAACCGAGAGGGCCTAGAGGCGCTAGGCCTAAGGAGAGAGTGGACCCAGCCCCTGGCCCTTGAGATGGAGCAGAGTCCAGATGGCCCAGGCCCTAGCACCAACTCATGAACCCCCACCCTGGGCCTGTTTACCCACGGCCACCAGAGCCCCTCTTAGAGCCAGGCTGGCTAGACTCTGAGTTGCTAGGTCCAGCTCCGGACAGGCTGGACTCTGAGTTCTGGACCCCAGGCTGGCTGGATCCTGGGATCCTGATTCCAGGCTCTGGGTGAGGTGGACTTAGGTCCCAGACTCCAGGCTAGGCCAGGGGCCTTCAGGGCTGCAGTAGGTAGCTGCCTTCATGGCTGGGTTTCTGGGGCGGGGGTGCCTTCTCAGGGCAGGGACCAGGGCTGGAGTTGGGACTGGATTCAGAGAGCGAGTCGATGTCGGCAGAGCGGGAGTGGCAGGCCCAGCAGAGAATGACCCAGAGGAGCAGTAGCAAGAAGCCTACCAGGCCGTTGCAGACGATGGCGATGAGGGCGCCCTGGGATATGGCTGCCCCCATGATGGGCAGCACCCTCAGACCAGCACAGACAGCGGAGCCAGAAGCGGGGTTGACTCAATGGCAAGGCCCATGCCGAGGTGGGACTCTGGTAGAGCCGGTCTTCTGGGGAGGCTATCCTGTCCACACTCTCAGTGATTCCTGGGCAGTAGAGATGTCCACCTACAGTCCCGAGCCTGTGGGGGGTGCAGAGTAAAAGAAAGGGTGGTGAGAAGGGACAGGGTGATGCCTAAGAGAGGAGACAAAAGAGCCCCCTCCCACATCTCCAGCTCCCTGGCAGAGGACTGGGTCCCAGTAGGCCCCAGTACTCCACAGAGCCGATACCCCATGCTCAGGCCTGGCTCTGGGCACGTGGAGTGGGGGGGTGTAGCCGCAGCGGGGCAGCTGGAGCAGGCAGCCTGCATCATTCCCCTTAGAACAGGTGGGCATGTTCCGGCCCTGCCCACCCAGCGACCGACCCTCTAAAGCACTGGGTGAATGGGTGTGCCCAGGTAGCCCAGGCCTGGGAGGATGGGGATGGTGACCAGCTTCAGTGGGGCCTAGCCACCTTCCCACTCCCCGGACCCCAGCCAGCCCGCCAGCCCGCCCGCCCAGGAGACCTGCGGAGGCGCCGGCTCACACAGAGGGAACTTGGTGGAGGGAGGCCCTGGCAGGCGTGCGTGGGTCTGTGCATCCAGGGCTGTGCACCGAGGTGTGACCTCTGTGTGGGGCTGTCTCTGAGGTCAGGTGTGCGTGTCTGAGTGTCTCGGCCTCTGCAGACCCACCTCTATCTGTGTGTGTCTGTGTGCTCATCTGTGAGTGTCTGTTGCATGTCTCGGTTCTCTCCCGGCTGTCTCTGTCTCTCTGTGTGTCTCTGCACCAGACTCTGTGTGTCTTTCTCCCTGTCTCTGTGTGTGTGGGTCTCCTGTATGGCTGTGTGTCCCTCTGCCCCTGCAGACGTGTCTCTCTCCCTTTCTCTGCGGGGTCCGTCTCTGTGGTTCCGTGCGTCTCTTGTGCGTCTTTGTGTCTGTCTCCCCGGGTCGTGCGTCCGCGCTCTGCGAGGGTCTGTCTTTCGATCTCCGTCCCTGGGTCTCCGGTCTGGGCCCCCGCGGCCGCGGGAGAGGGGCCCCCTTACCTGAGCGGAGCCCGGTGCGCGCCCGCCGCAGGGTCCGGGGCAGCGAGATGCTGGGCGCCGACCGGGGCTCAGAGCCCGCGGGCGGGCGGTGGGGGAGGCGGGTCGGGGCGACGTTTCCCTCCCCCGACCCTCCCCCTCGGCCACGCCGCCTCCGCCGGCCGCTCCCGCCGCGGCGCGACCCGGTGGCCTCTGCCGCGGGCGGTCTGCGGCGAGCGGGCGCCTCCTCCCCCGGGGCGCCGCCTCCTCCGCGGGGCCGCTCGCTCGCGGGGCGACGGCGGCGGCGACTCGGGCACGCGGTCCGGCCGGGCTCCGCGGCGCTCGGACGGGCTCGGCCCGGCTCGGCGGACGGCGAAAGCCGCGAGAGCCCCGCCTCCCGGGAGGCTGGCGGCCGGCGGCCTGCGGGGGACGCCGCCATCCCCAGCCGCTGCCGCCATTCAATTGGCTGGCGGCGCCAGGCCCACGTGCCATTGGCCCTGCGCTGGGGCGGGACTGGCCTGGTGCGGGCGGGGGGCGCGTGGGGGGGCGGGGACGGGGGCGGGAGGGAGGGGGTGCCGAGGGCGATTCTGCCCCCCCCCCATCCTCTCCCCAGGGGGCGGGGCGGCGAGGCCCACCGGTTTGCCAGGGCTTCTTGCACCTTCCACGCCCAGCATCGGGAAAAGGCCAAAGCTTCTGCGGCCCCGGATCCGAGGAGACCGCCCTCCACGTTCGGTAGAGGTCTCTGCCTCCCCTCCCCACGGCTCCCTATGGTCCCTCACGTCCACTCCCACCTGGGCGTGGGGTCCGCTTCCCCACTCCAGAGGGTCTGTGCCCAGGAGAGGTGAGCAGCTCAAGTCCAACCAAAGTTCTTGGACACATTTACTGAATTCCCACCCAGTACCCGCTGAGGTCTGTGCTTTGCGCTGCCGTGGGGGAGCCGGGCACAGAGAGGGATGGAGTACCCTGAGCGGCGGCTCAGCGCCGGCTGGGGCAGGCATGACTGCATCCTAGAAGCCGTCCTGAGCGAGAGATCAGCTTAGGCGCTACCAGGCATGCCTGCCTCCCCTGCCTACAATCCTAAGTGTTGTGAACTGGACCCTCTTCTCACCCCATTCTGCATGTTCTTCCTGGATGAGCAAACCCCTGAGCTACCATGAAGATAGTGCTCTCAGATCCAGCTCAGATGCAAGTGCCTGCCAGACTCGGGGGCACTGATTCCTGGTTCTGCCGCTTGCCCAACTTTGTGACTTTGGACAAGTTATTAACCTTTTAAAAATAATAATAATTTTAGAAAGAGGAAGGAGGGAGGGAGAGAGAGAGAGAGACATTGAATTGTTATTCCGCTTATTAATGCATTCATTGGTTGCTTCCTGACCAGGAATGGAACCTGCAACCTTGGCGCATGGGGACTATGCTCTACCCAACAGGTACCTGGCCAGGGCTGTTAACCTCTTTCAGACTCAGCTTCCTCATCTGTAAAACGGTTGTAATAATAGCTCCTATCAGGGTTGTAATTCACTAATTCATATTCACCAGACCAACCACATTTCAGTAAATGCCAACTGACACAACCCCAAGGACTACATGGCTAAGGAACCCCTTCCCCAAATGCCATGAGATTCCTATAAATCCAAATGCTACCTTGAAAATGAGAATGGGAAGGGTGAACTGATCTGAAATATGGAGTCATCCAAACCTGAATTACTTAGAGGCTGTCTAAAAAAAAATTTTTTTTTTACCCTACTGAGTTCACTAGAGTGGATTAATTTTAGTTTTGCTGCCCCTGTTACCCAGCAGGGTGGGGGCATTGTGAGCAAGATCAAATCAGTTCTAGGAAACAGGGGACTTATATCATTGTACATCTGAGTGTAATGTGAGTGAAACTGCGACCCAGCTGCAGGAGTTCAGATTTTATACTGAAAACAGTGGGGAAGCACTGAAGAATTTTGAGCAGAGAAGTAATGTGATCATATACAGAAATTAGAAGGATGATTTGAGCCGCTCTGTGGAAGGAAGGATTGAAAGCGCTTGAGAGTGAAGGCAATGAGTAATGACAGGGACTGAAATGATGCAGGGGAGTAGGAATGGAGAGAACAGGAGAGCATTGTGGAGATTTGGGAGTTACAATTGGCAGGACTAAAAACAAACAAACAAACAAACAAAAAAAAACAATTGGCAGAACTTAGAGACCTACACCTATAGGATATGGGGGCAAGAGGATGGGAAAATGTGGGATAACTCCCAGGTTGATGACTAGAGGTCCTGTGATGCCATTTATTGAGACAGGGAACACATGAGAAGGGGTGAGTTTCAGCAGGGGCTGGGGGAGGAGGGAAGATGAGTTCGGTTTTAGATATGATGCATTTGCGGTACCGATTGGACACCCAAGTTTAGATGTTCATTCGATATTTGGATAAACAGGTCTGAGATTCAGGAGAGAGATCCAGGCTGAAGTTAACATTTTGTGAGTTAACAGCAAAGGGTAGTAGTCAAACCAGAAAAGTGGATGAGCTCACCCAGGAAAATTAAGAACTGGTTTAAGCAAAAATGATGCATTTATGATCACATACTGAAACCTAAAGACAGGTATGCCTCAGGAGCACGAGGTTTTCTCTCCACCTGTCATCTCTACTATTTTTTGTCGCCTTCATTTCCCTCCCCTGCCCCCACCCCAGCCCCTGTCATCCCTACCCGCAGACTGGTTTCCAATGCTCTTCTGAAAGTCTTGACTTCAAACAATCCCAAAGCTTAAAATTTTATTGTTGAGGTATCCAACCAGACACTCACTCACTACTTTTTCTTGGTTGCAGTTTGCAAATTCCTCTGATTGGCTCAGCTTAATTAGGCCAACTTGGGACCAAACAACTGTGGTTAAGGAATGAATAAAGGTCAAATTGCCTAACAGGGCCCACAAGATAACCCCATGGAACATTGGGATGGTGGTGGGGTTCCCAGGAGAAGAGAGATCCTCAAAAAGCAGAATGCCAGGTGTTCACCCTTTGCCCAACACAAATATTGTTATATATATATATATATATTCTCCAAAAATGCCTTCACCTACATACATGATCCAACTATCCTACATACATATGCCAGTAAATTCACCTCCTCTCCTAACGAGGGCAGCTCAGTGACACATCCAGCTATTGCTTCTGGAAGTTATCTCATAGGACACTGTTCTTCAAATATAGGTTCTCTGGGTA